TACTTACTACATAAAGTATACTTAAAAATATACTTGAACTTTACTTAAGTATACTTACTAAAATAAACTTGAAGTATACTACTTTTTGGTAAGGGTACACTGTAAACCACGGCTTCTTGGGGCTTATTGATTTATAATAAAACTCCTTTAAAACGACAATGCCTTTCACTGTTAACAGCAATACAACACTTTATCGCTCTGTACGCCTGTTTATGCTGATCATCTTCTTTGTGAAGCACTGAAGGCATTTGGCTGCACAGGAAAAACACATCTTAACACACGGTGTGTTGTCTTTGTGAAGTTGCGGATTTAAGGACACTTTCAGTAGGTCACCATTATCATTTAGACAAAAGAGTGTTGAAAGGACATTCTGTCGGTGCTTCATTAGCGCAGGCCTCCCTCTGTGGCCAAACCACGGCCAGCGTTTAGTGCAATTACCCCGGCAGAGAACAACTGTCAATCATCCTTAAAGGGGAAGGATTCCAATTATTAAACCTCTTAAGTCTTTTCCTCTCGCCAACCGGCTCTCAGCGCGGCAGGCCAGTTTTCATGGCTTCATCCTAAAGATCAAGACCTCCATATGCTGCAGGAATGGGACGCATCTGAGTGCTTCGGAATTTCTGCTCACTTTTGGGCTCCACAAAATCTTAGTTAATGCTCGTTTTACAGTCTGAAGCAGGTGCACTGTGGGTAAAAAGTTGCGGCGTGTCATTTGCGGCGATGCTTGGAAGTGACGACAACCCTGTGTGATTCTGATGAGCCGGAAAGTTGAAGAAAAAGGTGTGTGAAGTTTAGTTTTTCTGATTTAAAGATTCCAGATTCACTTAGAATTAATTTGCATTTAAAGTACCTTTAAAATTGGTGAAACTAGACAAATAAGACTTATTATTTACTTCTATTTGTGTATTTAAAGCATATACATTTTAAAATGCAACACACAGTACTTTGGGTTGATTGAGTTAATTATCTATTAGTTGAAAGTCTATATGCACACACAACAAGCATGAAACCCAAGTAAAGTAAAATATTACATATTAAATAGTATAACTGCCCACAAACGTACAAAAAATAATAATCTAAAATTCAACAAAATTCTAAAACTTTATAAATGTGCCAATGCATGTCTGTACGATTCTGAAGAAAAAAAAGTGTGCAAAGTTTTGTCTTCTATTTGATTAAATGACTTTTAATTTGTAAACTAGAGCTAGATTTCAAATCTGAGCATCTTGAGACATTGTTGAGGTCTCATTTGTTAATCTAGTGAACAGATCTAGTGATCTGAGATTGTTTTTGCACAGGAGAAACATCTATGAAATATGATAAATAAGCAAAATTCACCATGCAATACTTTGAAAACTTATATGATATATAGATATATGAATATTATATGCTATATTATTATTTTTAAATGATCAAATACAAATGATGGAAAAATTTAAAAGGTTTAGTCTTCTATTTAAGCCTAATTTAAATACAGAATTTAAATTATATTTAATGAGAAAATAAAAGTAACCACTACTTCACAGAAACTAAACAAATAAGACTTTAATCTGTATTTGTATTTATGAAGCATATAGATTTTAACATGATACATGCTTTTGGTTGATGGCACAGAGTTACTTAACTTTTAACTGGTGACTGAACATTTACACTGAAACAAAAGTAAAATTAAACAACCTATAGTTTAGAGTGTGATTTTCAACTAACTGAGTCGAATCATAAATTCAATTTGCAAAACTCGAAGGAAAAATGAGCCAGATTGCTGTGCCAACACAGGCCTGAAATAAGGATTGACTGTCAGTAAAGTTGCTGTGTTAAGATGCTTTAGACAGTCAGAAGGGATGAAAATGACACTTAAGAACAAGCAAAGACAACTGATCTCATGCATAACGAGTTTCTGTTATATTCCATACTCTATATCATTTAGTTTCAATCAATGCAGAAGAATAAAGCATCTGCACTCTGTGTCAGTTGTCTTTTAGTGAAACTGTTGAAGCATGTAAACCATGAAGGGTCAGAGCAGCTGCTTTAACTTGAGTTTAACTTTAGTTTAACTTGTCAAATGTTTTTTGGAGAAATCGATCATTATACTAAATGTTGTAGGGATATATAACTGGTTTGAGCATAATATTAGTACTTGGATAACTGTATGCATTATTTTTATCATTTGTAGAAAATACAAAAATCATTTGTGAATCATTTCATTTCCAAAACATTGAAGCAAAATAAACCATAACAAACATACAAACAATTAATAGACTCTGTCAGCACTGCTTATAAATATTGCAAATATAAAAACTTTTTAGATTATGAAACACAGAACCATTCTTTATTCAACAATTTTACAACTGAAATAAAGTATGACCAATATCACATACCTAGAAAACCAAACTTTCGGCTGTAACTAAAAATGTGCTTTATCTGATTTTGTCAAATACTGTTAAAAATATTAACCCTTTTTTTGGATGTCTTACTTTAAAGTCTTATTAACCCCTGCTATTCTTGTACAGATCTTTGAAAGGGAATCTCTGCCACAAACTGGAACCAGATTCTCTTTTGGACATAACTTGCACACATTTCCCCGAGGAGACTTAACATAAGGGCAGATTGGATGCATTTGTCACTGGATATGATGAACATGGTGGATGATGGTTGCCTCTCAACAGACAACTACCACGACCTGGGGAAAGGTGGCGCGTCGGGGATGGGAGGCCGCGTCCACAGCATCGACGTGATTCTGGGCTTCAGTAAGGACCAGGATCGTCTGCTCAACCCGGTCGGGCCTGTCGGCACACACAAAGTGGACAGAGCAGACCTGGGAGAAGAGGAGAAGCAAGTGACCTCTGACCCCTACGGTCACCTGCAAAGTCTTCCGGATAATTCACAGCAGTCAGCGTATCATGGTGAGAATCGACCGGTTTACTAAATCTCATCTCACTTTCTGGAAAGTGAAAAGAACATCACACATAAAAACACAGTACTTGCACAAAAATATCTGAGTGGCTCAATGCAAAAAGTGCTTTACAATGCAAAATACATTGTATACATTAATGAATGATGTATTTTCCTGTGCAAAACCCAATGCCACAGCGTTATAGAGGTTCCTACTGTCTTGCATGATCTTCTGGTTTCTAGATTTGGCTCCTGAATCACCTTCAATGTAAGACTGTAGGTTTTTCCACCTGTTTAAGTCTGATGACTTAATTTAACTTGACTTGGACTTTAATTTAACTTGATTTGAAGAATCACTCATACTGTACTGAGATGAAGTATACACCAAAATGTAATGCTTTTCTAATCCTAAGAACAAGCCATAGTAAAATAGCGATGCATGACTTGGAAAACACCACTAGTCAGTGTTTTTGAAGGTATAAGAGACTACACTTGAATTAATGTCAAATGCATGTTTATTAGAAATTGGGTTATAAAAAAAAACAATATTTTACCTAAATAAATTTGCATAGATAAATAGCAATCACTGTAAATACACTGAAAAAATGATTTTCTTATTCAGTACTTTTGACTTGTTTTCCATTGCAAATATATAAACATTCTTAAATTAATACAGATAGATAGATAGATAGATAGATAGATGATAGATAGATAGATAGATAGATAGATAGATAGATAGATAGATAGATAGATAGACAGACAGATAATAGTAATATTCCTTCTCAAGTAAAGTAGATATTTATAATGGAAAACAAGTCAAAAATACTAAGAAATGTATTTATTTATTTATTTATTACTTTTTATTTTATTTATTTTATTCATAATTTTTTTGCAGTGTACTCTAAATAGATAGTACATCTGGTCACCTGATTAAATAAAAATATATCCAATTAATTATTCCACATCCTTCTATCCTGACTTAATTATTGGTGGAGAAATTATGTGTGTGTGTGTGTGTGTGTGTATATATATATATATTTATTTATTTATTTATTTTTACATTACTAATAATAATCACTGTAAATAGTGATCACAATGACAATTTATTAGTGTTATCTATAGGATATAGTGGCATTTTGTGAATGTTGTTAAACCTTGTGCATCCATACAGTTACATATAGAGTTCAATGCCTCGTCAAGAAGGTGTGTTGTATTTTCCAGTTTATATATATACTGTATATATATATATATATGCTTACAAAGTGACTCAATTAAACCTGTAGACATTAGTGTCAATGCAGGTGTATCTAGTTTGTGTTTGAAAGTTGTGTGCAGCACGACGTTTAACACTTGCTAACATTAAACTAGTAAACTGATTCTAATCCTGCCTAACTTAATTAGATTCAACCAGGATCTGCCCCACCTCAACATGTGGCGCGGTTTGCTCTTAGCGGTTTCTGCGAAATGAAAATCTCTGCTGTTGTCAGGCTGGTCGGCCACTCTTGGTTGAACCGCTGCGGTACTGAGTGAACCTCTTAACGGCTGGATTAGCAGTCTTGACTTGGCCACATGAGGTCTACAGGTTTAACTGGTGACATCTGCGTGCTTGGATTACTGGGAGGACTTACTTACCATGGCAGAAGTGATGGAACTCCCAAATCTCTTATTTTCTAGGAATTCATAAAATCGAAAGGTTAACATCTGACTCCATCACTGTACCATTTGGTAAAGGCACAAGAACATATAAGTAAAGGGATAGTTCATCCAAAAATTTAAATACTGTCATCATTTACTAACCTCAAGTTGTTCCAAACCTGTGTGAGTTTCTTTCTTCTGTTGAGCAGAAGATATTTTGAAGAGTGTTGGTAACCAAACAATTGACGGTAGCCTTTGACTTCCACAGTGTTTTTTGCCATACTATGGAAGTCAATGGCTACCAACAATTTTTATTTTCTCAACATTTATCAAAATATCTATAAAATATCTATAAAGATAAATAAATGATGAAGGAATTTTCATTTTTGGGTAAACTATACCTTTAAGGCTCCACATTTAAACTTTAAAATGTACCTTATCCCATACCGTTTGTGCTTGAGACGTGAATGATTCCTCAAATCATGTGTCTTGTTGAGGAGAAATGTACTGTTACTTTATAAGTGATCAGATGCACCATTTTGGAATGGTTAATAAAAGATAAAACAGACTTACACAGACTTCACACAGACTTTTACATTGAAGGAGGGACTCGAGTCATATCAAACCCTACTAGTAACCACATAGAACAATGCCCTAGAAACCACCCAGCATGCTCTAATGACCACCTAGCAATGCCCTAACAACCACAAAGAACACCCTAGCAACACCATGGCAACCACGCAGAACATTCTAGAAACTAGCAATGCCCTAGCAACCACCCAAAACACTTAGCAATGCTATAGTAACCACCCAGAAAACCCCAGAAACGTCTTAGCAATGCCCTAACAAACTCTCAAAACACCCTAGCAACTTCTCAGCAATGCCCTAGCAACCACCCAGGGCACCCTAGTAACTGTATCCCAGCAATAACCTAGAAACCAGAAAAATCTAAGAAACTTCTTAGCAATGCCTTAGGCCCCCATCAGACAGAAAACATAGTTGATTTTTTTTTTTTTCAACTTCAGGTGCTCAGAACGCTCCTACAAACACACGAGGCTATTTAAAAGTTATATGCAGCTAAGAGTGATAAAGGGACATGCATGGATGAGAAAATAAAGAGTGGGACGTGCTAGATGTTAAATATTAAACAGAGCTGGCGCTGACTGAGACCCGAATCGTGCGCACAGAAAACCGTGCAATCGCGAAATTCAGACCTCTTTCACGTTGAATGGTCAAATACACGCACAATTATGTCTAAATGCCCGTCGTGTGGAGTATTCATGTAAACACAGTCGGTTATGTGTTAAATAAATATAAATTGGGTGAAAACCATATATGTTTCAGTATATTGGATCCGTGCAGTCGGTCTTAAAGTGACAGCAGTCTTATTTACATGCTTCTGTCTGTCATTAATGTTAACAAAAAAACAAAAGACAAAGAGAAAATCACTCACTGCTCTTGATTGAATCACTTTTGGATCTTTAATAAGAATCAATTCATATGTGATTCATACAGTGAGTGAAGACTACGCAGTATTTTAGTTACACTTCATTATTCAATTTCTGTTGTATTTCTTAATACAGTACGTTAAATAAACCAACTGTAGCTGGAAAACGTAAGTTATTTAATTGATATTTTTGTTCTATTGTGTTTGTAATTTGCTTCTTTGTTCTTATTTTTAATTAAAAAAATAAAAATAAAATAAGAATAGCTATATCGAGATATATCAATATCATGAAAAAAATGTATCATAATGTGAAATAAGATTTTGGTCATATATCGCCCACACCTAATAGCAACCACCCAAAAAAAAAACTCAAGCAATTTCTTAGCAACGCCCTAGCAACCACCCAGAACACCCTATCAACTACATAAAAACAGGTTAAACCCCATTAGCAACCCATTAATTCTTTAATGAACTTTACAAGAGTGCCTGGCAAATAAAGAGCACTCCGTTTATCCTGTGCTGTAGATACTGGACTTTTCTCCACGGAGAAGTGCGACGCCGATTTGGGAGATCCACAGAGCAATGTGGAGAGCGACAGCCGCTCCCCGGACCCTCCTGATGAGGATCAACCTAAAAAGAAACACAGACGCAACAGAACCACCTTCACCACCTATCAGTTACACGAGCTGGAACGCGCCTTTGAGAAGTCCCACTACCCGGATGTATACAGTCGAGAAGAGCTGGCTATGAAAGTCAACCTCCCAGAAGTTCGCGTTCAGGTAAGCTTTGCGTGATACAAGCCGGGAGACTTGATGGTATTAGATAGACGTAGTGATCAATGTCATTTTATTTATTACAACCTTGACATTGGGGTTATTTAATGGACTTATGTTGGTAGGGCATTACAAGGTGATGCTGTTTAACAAGGGAGTATTGATTGAAGAGAATCTGCATTTAATGAAGAGACAGAGCTTTGTTAAACTGGTAAAGCTCCATCTGTTAAACTGTTAATTTCACTCATTCATAACTCTCCAGCACACTCACCTCATTGACTTCTGTGAACAGGCGAGTCGAATGAGTTTCTGTGCCACTGGACATTATGAGGTTGAGTCTAAATGGTTCTCAACTTTTTCCCGTCATGCAGGTGTGGTTCCAGAATCGGCGTGCAAAATGGCGGCGGCAAGAAAAAATGGACACGGGCAGCATGAAGCTCCACGACTCGCCCATGCTGTCCTTCAGCCGACTGGCCATGGCGCCCAACATGGGGCCAATGACTAATTCTCTGCCTCTGGACCCCTGGTTGCCCTCGCCGCTCTCCAGTGCCACTCCTATGCACAGCATCCCGGGCTTCATGGGACCAGGCCAAAGCCTCCAGCCCACCTATACGGGTCATCCCGGCTTTCTGAACTCTTCTCCAGGCATGGTGCAGGGAATGCAACCCATGCCACCACCTCCTTACCAGTGTCCCCCTGCATTTAATGAAAAATACCCTCTGGAAGACGTGGACCGCAGCTCTAGTATCGCAGCTATGAGGATGAAGGCCAAGGAGCACATTCAGTCCATGGACAAAACCTGGCAACCCATGTAACAGGAAAATGGGGAGCGGTATATTTTATTGGAATCTCATAGACACATGGACGCATTTTTAGAAAGGACCAGCACCGGATCACCCCCAAAAGGTGATTTTGACCCCCGACAGAGGGGAAAATCATGGAAAAAAACACGAAACGGCTAGTATTGGGCTAGTTTTGAATAGCAATCGGGCTGTTTTTTTTTGCACAGACCTGGCAACCATGGCAACAAAGCACTGACAGTTTGTGATCATGGCATCTACAGTAAGGCGTTTCTTACTTCTTTCCCGCAAATGCTGAGCTCCCTAGGATTCTGGATTTCAGTCGGTGCCAAGCTTCTCTGCTCCTCCAGGTTGAAGACTCGCAATAGCAAGTTTGGCCCGTTGGCAATTTAACAGGACAGCGTAGCTCAGGACAACTAATACCTCAATGCCTGTTCAGAGGTTAATTTCATGTTCTACCATCTAGACATGAGGAACGATTAGAAGAAATCACTTGACTTTGATTTAAAAGGAATGACCCTCTATGGTTAAATAAACTGAAATCTAGAAACAGAATGTCTTTTATTGAATTGTTATTTTACATGAGTAGCTGCATTATCAAGCCATAGAGTGAAGTTGTTTCTAAATCACTAGCACATATTTCAGCCGTGCCACAATCCTGTTCCTGCCGTTTGATGTGTTCATATCATCATTTAAAACAAGTCTGAGGTTTAACGTTTCAGTGTCTGTGGGGTCTGTTTCAAGCAATGATGGACAAACCTCTCAAAAAGGTGAATTTTATGAAGAAAGTCAGTTATATTTCACCCCAAAAACAAGAGAACAGTATAAGAAATTATATTTTGCACAAAGAAAATTGAGAAAATTCAAATTATTATGTATTTCTGACCCTAAATTCTCATTACTGTAATGCTGTAACATCCCATAGAAGACTTCAGATGCAAAAAGTCCATCTGAGATTTTTTCTGATGTATATTAATGTATATATAAAATACTACAAGTGTACATAATATTAAATGTTATTAAACATTAAGAGTATTATTAATATTAAATAAAAATATATTTAAATAATACAGACTTTTTTACACATTACCTTAAAAAACTGCCTTCTAATCATATTAAATAAGCTTAAATAAATTCAATATAACTACTACAATTTTAATTAATATTAAATGATATTAAATATTAAGAGTATTATTAATATTAAATAAAATATATTTAAATAATGCAAAATATATTTTTATATATGATTGTATATGATTGTAAAGTGCTTTGGGTGTACAACAATACACAATAAAACGCTATATAAATGCATCATTCATTCATCATTCAATATTAAGAGTATTATTAATATTAAATAATTATTTATATTAAATATAGGTAACACTTTACAATAAGGTCTCATTTGTTAACATTAGTTAATGCATTAACTAACATGAACTAACAATGAACAATAAATATTTTTTACAGCATTTCATAACCTTTGTTAATGTTAGTTAATAAAAATGTTCATGCTCATGTTGGTTCACAGTACATTAACTAATATTAACAGATACAACTTAAAATTTTAATAATGCATTAGTAAGTTTTGAACTTACTGTAATATTAACTAAGATTAATAAATGCTATATAAATATTGTTCATGTTAACTAATATAGTTAATTAATATTAACAAATGAAACCTTATTGTAAAGTGTTACCTAAATATATTTTAAAAATACATAATTCTTTTTTTTTTTTTTTTTTTTTTTTTTTTTTTTTTTTTTTTTTTTTTTTTTTTTTTTTTTTTTTTTTTTTTTGTCATTTTCTTTTGATTTTGGGTTGAAATAAGACCTGGGCACTTCACAATTTTCAGACTCATCCCAAAAATGGAAGCTGATTTTCAATTTGCATAATTTGATGTCTTAATTAAAGACAAAGTATTAGTATTATGAAATTGAAAATGTCTCCATTATTTAATTAAAAATGTTACAACTTACCCCAAATCGCACATCCACGGCCAACAAACATACTGAATTGTAATTTGGCCCTGTAGTCAGAGCCTTTGTTGTTATTGGCACTGTCCACTTTAAGCAGTTAAGAGATTACATCCAGAAAAGAAGGTAAGAACAGAAAGTAAAAAGAATGACAGGGAACGTATGACATCCACAACTGCTTAGCGGAAGACAGAGGTCACACTAAAAATGAATGTCATTGCATTAGATTAGAAAATATCAAAGCAATTGACATTTATGTTTGACAAAAACAAGTGATAAAAAAATACATCTAACGAAAATGATGACTAAAAGCACCAAAACCCAAGTTGATTATGAGCAAAAATGACAGAAATATTGAATGATATTCACACATTTATAAGTGTGACTGAAGGGCAAAAATACTCATACAGTTTGACATACTGTCTAAGCAGTGATTTCTCAGTTAGACTTTGTGAAACTTTGTGAGGTCATTAGTGGATTGTGTCGCTTTCGTAGCAGGTGTGTGTGTGTGTGTGTGTGTGTGAGGACGCGGAAACAGTGGCTCCCCGCCGGGAATCTTCATTGTTTAAGATTATAGATTGCCCCTCTGCTCTGAACTAATGGGCGTCCCAGCCAGGTGTCAGTCATTTAAAGATGTGTACACTTAGACGTCATGGGGTGGATTCTGTCACAAACGTTGCAGCTTTATCATTGTATGATGTGCATATAAACTGTCATTATGTTTGTTATATGAAGTTTTTGGGGACGGGAAATTTGAATGTTATTGAATATGTCTTTACATTTTTTTAGATAAATTTGTTGAATTTTTTGCACTAACAATTGGAATAAAGATGAATGATAAAAATGCATGATTTGTGACTCTGGACCACAAAACCAGTCTTAAGTGTCAAGACAATATTTGGCTGAGATACAACTATTTGAAAATCTGGAATCTGAGGGTGCAAAAAAATCTAAATATTGAGAAAATCATCTTTAAAGTTGTCCAAATGAAGTTCTCAGCAATGCATATTACTAATCAAAAATTAAGTTTTGATATATTCATGGTAGGAAATTGACAAAATATCTTCATGGAACATGATCTTTACTTAATATCCTAATGATTTTTGGCATAAAAGAAAAATCAATAATTTTGACCCATACAATGTATTGTTGGCTATTGCTACAAATATACCCCAGCAACTTAAGACTGCTTTTGTGCTGCAGGGTCACATTTGGTTAGCTTTTATAATAAATATAAAGTTATGATACTAACAGGAAGCTCATTCAAAACTTGTAATTAAAATCAAGTTTAAATCTATACATACTAAACTGTGAAAATGTTTTGTTAGTTAACCTAAAAAAGTACTACTAGTATGTGCTCATGTGTAAATTAACTGGTTTTGTTCAAACAAAATTCAAATGATAAACCAAATATTGAAAAAATATTGTCTCATTGCTCATATAATATTGTAAATCACATGCTCAAGTGCAATAAACTGGAACTAAAAGAAAAGGAAATATCAATCATTTATGACATTTTTAAAATCAATCCTATGCAACACTGTCAAAATTAAAAATATATAATGCAATACCCAAATGATAAACTATATGCCTGACATCATTTGAGCAGTGTTTAAGGACATCTGATTTATTATTTGAGCTTTTTTAATCAATCATTTACAGCATAGTTGTTGTCTGTGGTCTTAAAGGAACAGTTCACCCAAAAATGAAAGTTTGCTGAAAATGTGCTCATCCTCAGGCCATCCAAGATGTAGATGAGTTTGTTACTTCATCAGATTTTGGAGAAATGTAGCATTGCATCACTTGCTCAGCAATGGATCCTCTGCAGTGAATGGGTACCATCAGAATGAGAGTCCAAACAGCTGATAAAAACATCATAATAATCCACAAGTAATCCACAAATTAATTCACTTCAAACTGTTAATTTGGCTAAAATACAAGTCTGCTATCCATAATATTGTTTTCTCCTTTGAAAAAGTAATTTAGTCTGAATCAGGAGAGAAATCTGCACAGATCAAATACCGTTTATAACCCAAAACAGTCCAAAACAGCTCTAAACAAATATGTGGGTGGATTTTGATGTGAGAGACAACAGGAGATGGACTTTTTCAATGGAGCATCATTATGGATTATGGATTTATATTTTAGCTGGAAATGACGCGGAAGTGATGGATTTGTTTCTTACAAACATGCAGCTTTTGGCTTCTCAAGACATTAACGGATGGACTGGAGAGGTGTGGATTACTTGTGGATTATTGTGATGTTTTAATCAGCTGTTTGGACTCTCATTCTGACGGCACCCATTCACTGCAGAGGATCCACTGGTGAGCAAGTGATGCAATGCTACATTTCTCCAAACCTGATGAAGAAACAAACTCATCTACATCTTGGATGGCCTGAGGGTAAGCAGATTTTCATCAAATTTAGATTTTTGGATGAACTGTTCCTTTAAATATCACACATAAAACTAAGGCACTGAGCTCAACTAGTGACTGAAAGAGTTTCGCCCCTCATTAGTGAGCGTGTTCAGTGGCCCTGACTAGGCTGTGGGTGAAGTGACCTGTCCTCGCCTGCCCTTGCAGGTTAACGGCACCAAGCCAGCCTGTTAAGATGATGAGCCGGCCATCCATCAGCTCTTCGCAGGGGACAGAGTGAGGGGGGCGGCTCTTCACCCCTACGATCCAGCCTAATTGCCCCATGTTCTGTTGCTGGCTTCCATACTTCAGTGACACAAAACACACACACTAAGATACGGTCCTCCTAAATCAAATGACATAATGACAGAGTTTAATACATTAATGCCATGCACAAATACATTTACATAATCTATTGCCTCTTAAGCGTCCTATTTTGCAAGATAGAATAATATAATGGAAGTATAGGAATTATCAGTGTTGGGAAGGTTACTTTGGAAATGTAATAGGTTACAGATTACAAGTTACCCTACTTAAAATGTAATAAGTAGTGTAACTTTTTAATTACTTTATTAAAGTAATGTAACTGATTACATTTGATTACTTTTTGATTACTTTTCTACATTTCTAATGTTTTCAACTGTTAATCATGTTCAAACATGTAAACCAGGCAGGGTTAAACTTACAATATGTGCTCAACACTGATAACTCTCAGACTTTCGAAATCCTTCATCACTTGAATTAAGATTATAATATTTTCATTTTAAAGGAGACAATGGATGCAAAAGATCTTCATTTGCATATAAAGGTGTCTTAGCAGTGTGTGGACACAACCACCCTACAATGATCAAAATTCACTCCTTTTTTTTAATCCCCCAAAAACCTAAAGAGTCTCAATTATAAAGCCATTTTGATTTTGGAGTGAATACCAGCGCTCTCTTCCACCTTCAATACCACGACTGAGGTGAGACCCTTGAGCAAGGCACCAAACCCCCAACTTTGTTGGTGTGTGTTTACGGTGTGTGTGTGTTCACTGCTGTGTGTGTGCACTTGGATGGGTTAAATGCAGAGCACAAATTCTGAGTATGGGACACCATACTTAGCCATATGTCAATTCAATTCACTTTCACTAAATTTGTTTATGTCTGGCTGCGCAAATCATTTTACTCCAGGCAGCTTTCTGAATGAGGGACAATTCAAGGCAGGTTTTGTTAAAAAGTTAAAACTCAAGGATGGATCAGTACCCATTGTTCATGATCCAGCTGCAGATTTCAGACTTACTTTAAAATCATTCTAAGGTTAAATACATATTTAAAATCATAAGAAATAGTTTAATAGCTATGATACTGTTTTTGAAATCAAATATTTGCATATCTATGACAGGAAACACTGGAATCTAACAATGCCTTAGAAAAAACAGTTAATCTTAAAAAAAATAAAGCATATACATAAACCCTATTGGATAAGCATGTTATAAACTTCTGAAACATTGGTGTTTCATATTTTAGAGCAGTCACTGCAACTTATGAAAGAACTCAGTTAAATCTGTATGTGGGAGTGTGTGTGTGGAAAAAAATCAGATGTAACCCCCTTTGTAATCCTTAACATTTCCATAAGTAACTGTAATTTAATTACACATTTTTTCTTAGTAACTGTAACTGATTACAATTACTTTTATTTTGTAATTAAATTACGTAATTCCGTTACATGTAACTAGTTACTCCCCAACACTGGGAATTATGTAGTGACTACATGCCAATGATAGTTTTATTTGAGTTATAGTGTAAAACGAATCTTTTTGTGATGTTGTGACGTGGTTAAACTGGCTGTCAAGGCGCCCTGTTGCATGACCTGTGATGAGTGTCGACTGACGAATCTGAAGTAAAGGCCAGAGAAGAGGTCAGAGGTCAAGAGGCTGCTCATTCTGACAGATGACGTCAGTTCAGGGATTTCTACATAGACGCTGACTGGTTTAATTAAAGGAATTTAGCTTTAGTTAACAATAAGTGACAGGTGACTAAAATGAAACTCAAATTATTTATCTGACCTGCATCTCCAGAATGAATACAATTGATAAAATAAAGAGAACTAGAGTTACACTTTTACAAGAAAATGTATGGTGCTAATCCATGCAAAACTTCCCGCCTTGATGTTGGAGTGTTTGCAAGATGTTTGCTAGGGTGTTCTTTTTTTCCACCCATTTATTATCTACATAGCAGAAATCAAAAGTCTAGTGTCTTCGAATATTATCAGCAAGCACTGCTTTTTTATGTAGTATTTTTGTCTTGTTTTTCATTACAAAAAAAAAAAAAATGTGTGTGTGTGTATATATATATATATATATACTGTATATACTGTATATAAATTGAGAAAAAATGGCCTAATGATATTTAGGCTTGTTTAAATATTTTTTTTTTAAATAAATAAAAAAAAATTAAGTGATTTTATGATTAAAACAAAAAAAAATATCCGTCAGTGGTAAGCTTTTTTCCCTTTGAATTATACAGATTGACAGATACATTTTCTTAACTTTTTCAAAATTAATTGAGCTTATGATTAAAACAAAAAAAATATCTGTCAATTGGGTAAGAAAAAATATTGTTTCCTTTTGAATTTTTTCAAAATATGCTTAAAACCAAACAAAATCTGTCAAAGGGTATTCTTGTTTTCCCTTTACTAAACTATACAGATTGACAGCTATTTTTCTTGTTTTAAGCATAAACTCACTTAATTTTGACAATCTTAAATCATTTTGCTTCTCAAGTAAATATATCTTGATTTAACAATGTTTAGATATTTGCACTGGTAAACAAGACAAAAATACTGAGTAAGAAAATCATTTTTTTGCAGTGTATATCGGCCACCCTATTCTCTAAATACTGGCATTGGCTATTGTGAAAAAACATATACGTCCTCCTCAGGTAGAGCTGAAAACAAAGTCTTAAACTCAGATCTCCTTCACCACAGACTGCAAAAACTGCAACACTGACTGTGGTTCGCTGCTAAATTTGTCCTTTATTTTCCTGGCTCGGGTGAGGGTCTGATAATAATGAATTGATTGTGTGGGTTTTTCGGTCCTCACGCTGTGCAGGGATCTGGAACTTGGGATGTAGTTAACTCTCTGATTAGTGGAACATGTTCTATGGTGCAAATAATAAGGGAAGCAAGTGGAATTAATCGGGTTTGATTTCTACAGCTTTTCTATGTCTTCTTCGCATGCCATAATGAGACGGTTTGGCAAGGCTACAGGAGGGGGAGTGAGAACGTGCTTGACCTTTGATTTCCCTTTTTTGTGGCTTGTTCGGACATGCGGTACATTTGGAATCGCATGTTGCCATCCTACTCGCACTATTTTTGTATATGCAGTGTGTATGCATGCAATGCATTTGTACATGCATTGAAAAAAAACCCTGACCTACTGTACTACATCTGCCAAAGCATTTAATATATTCACAACAAACACAGAGTGAAATAATGTATTGCAGTGAACTTGACCTTCCATTTCCAACGTGAACCAGAAGCTAAAAAAAAATGCAATTTCCTTCTAACTTCAGACTTCAAATTGGATTTAAAATGCAAAACAACTGTTTTAATATTTATTGGATTAAACATGCAATATAGTCTCAAGAAAAAAATGGCATGAATATCTTTAAAATAGCCTTAATTTAGTTTTCACATTCAAAAATGTAAAATTCATCGGGCTGCAATTCAATACTGAATTGGAATACTCCTGGTGCACATCATCAATGTGTATCATGAATGAAGCAGCTTCAAATACCTGATCAGAGTCACAGCGCCATCTACAATTGCTCAATTGAACTGCGCTAACAACTCAATTAAACCAATCAACTCTAACAGCATTCATAAACCATTTTACTTTTGTAATATTACAATATTTAGGAGTCAAACAGGATATTCAGTGTGAGAAAATGTAGCCTGGGACTTGATTTTATCCACTGGATTTATTGCAAGTCTAAATTGCATTGCTATTTATTAGTATTATTTAGATAATTTTTGCAGTGTGCATCTGTGCATGCTTTATGGGCTAATAATTGCTATGCAGAACGATTTTGTGACTGTTTGCATACATTTTTTTTTAGATGAATATTAGACTAAAGCTGCCACATGTATGATCTGACAAGTAATAATTAATTTTATAGGGTTAGTTCAAAAATAAAAAATGAAAACCCTCAACTCGCTCGAAAGCATGTATGATTTTCTTTTTCTGTGGAACACAAATGGAGGTGTTTAGCAGAATGTCCACACTGCTCTTTTGCATACAATGAAAAGTGAATATGACACCAAAATACTTTAAAAAACCATTTTATTAGTATGTACCGAAAAGTGTTTTGCTTTGCTTTATTTTGTGCCACTTAAATAAACTTCCTCATATTCCTTATCACGTTTCTCCATTCATGATGTTTATTTCCTCGTCAGCAGCTCTGAAAACAAATCAAATGCATGACAGTCCTGCAACAACTTTTACAGTAGAAATGATTGGAAACTCCCAATCCAGATATGAATAAGCAGAACTGGTCAAATGGACTTTTAGATCTCAAATCTAGATTTCTAGCTTTGAGATCCACAAGATCTTGATTCCATCTGGATGGCCTCAAAATTTAATGGCAATCAAACCATAACAAAAGATATGGCCTATATAAGACGGAATATACATTATCTTTAGATTAGATTTTAAACAGGCCCATTAAGTTAGCTATTAGAATTAGTTTACTGAAAAGCCTTGGATTAACTTAAATTTGGCATATTTACATTTTTGTTATATTTTACTCTCATTTTGATTCATCTTATAGACTATTTTAGATCCAACACGTTGTTTAATGCAATAAGCAGTTTATTGTCTTTGATAGCTTACCATATCAAAGTCAACAGATAAAGCAGAAAACCCTGTATTTGTACAGCACTGTTTTCTGCGTTCAGGGCTGCGTTCAGCCCCGACAAAAACGGTGCAAAACGTTTTTTAAATGGAAACGGTGGTGCGTTGAACACT